TTATTGATAGTATTTGTTTATAAAGCATAATTTTAAGTTTTAATATTTTGGCAACATTGATATTAAATTGTAAAAAGAATGAGTTAAAAATGTATCTGGAAGAGAGAGTTTTTTCATTATTATGGTTTGGTAGAATGTGATAAGATTTCTTATGTCTGATTTTCTTTAATAAAGTTTTCTGTTAGTATATTGCCATAATGTATTTTTGTTAGAAGTGGATGATTCTTTTGAGAATGTTATATATATGCCAATCTTAAAAAAAAAAAAAAAAAAAAAAAAAAAAAAAACATTTGGTAGCAGAGCGTGGTTGCCCCCTCTGTTAATAAACTTTCAGATAGAACATTGATGTTGTTTAGGCTTAACAAAATAGCCAATTTCTCTAAGAGATAAATTAGACTTGTAATAATTAGTGAATATAAATTAGAAAATACGGCATATAATATAATAAATTTGAGTCATATAGAAAAATTAAGTGATGATAATTATTTATTTGGGCCAACAGAATCGAAAGTGAATTAAGAAGTTTGAAAATATGGAGAAGTGTGATAGAAGCTGATGAACCACCAAAACCATATAAAAAGGATGATGTTAATTTCGAAAAGTGAAATAAAAACTTGGGAAATATGGGATGATAATAACGCGATAGCAAGAAATATAATGAATCAAACTATGACAGCTCCACAAGCGTTAAAATATGCGAATGAAAAGAACGCAAAGAAGTTATGGGAGAAAATAAAAAATGAAATGGCGGCAAGAACAGAAGATATTCAAATCAAATGTAGAATAGAATTAGCTCAACTGAAAATGAGTCAAAATGAATCAGTAGATGATTATATGAATAGAGCTGTAATTCTGAAAAGTAAAAGTATTCAAGTTGGAGATGAAATAAGAGATAAAGAATTAATTTACTTCATACTAGAAGGACTTAGAAAGGAATTTGAATTTGATGTTAAAATTATTAAAAGCAATAAAGAGAAAGATCTAGCTTCAATTAGACAAGCTTTAAAAGAAACAGAAGGAAAAAATAAACAAAGAGGAAAAGAAATAGAAGTAAGTTCTAAGGCAAAAGAAAACTGGAAAATCGAAATATGAAAGAAGATGCTTTAATTGTGGAAAATTAGGACAATTAATAAAAGAATGTCGAAATAATAATAATATTATAAAATGCTTTTGCTGTGGAAAATTCGGCCACAAATCAACTGAATGTAAAATGAAAACTAAACAAGAACACCGACAGCAGAGAAATGTAACAAATAAAACTTATAGAATGTCAAGGAAAGAGAATATGAATCAGCTACATGCTTATTTGAAGTACCTAAGAAAATAGAAAGCACATATCTTAATCAAGATAGAAATGATGGAAAGAATAAAATAAATGAACAACAGAATAGAAAAATTAAATGGATTATTGATTCAGGAGCCACATCTCACATGGCAACTAATAAAGAAATATTTACTCATTTTAAAGATGAAGAACGACAAATAATGACGGCTGAAAAAAGGGGCCATGATCAAATAGAGTTGTATTGGTAACATTAAAATGCAAACTGATAGAAATAAGAAACTGAGAGTAGAAAATGTTCTGCAAGTACCGAATTTAAGGTGAAAATCTGCTGTCAGTATCAAAAATTGTAGATCATGATTTAAAAGTAATTTTTACCAAAAATAAAGCAGAAGTGATCAATAAACAGGGAAACATTCTATATATAGCTAACAGAAATGGAAATAAATTTGAAGTTGAAGGAAATATTGTTGAAGAAGCTAAAATTAGTTATGTTAATGATGTACTATGGCATCAGAGACTAGGTCATATAAATTATCAAAGGCTGATAGAAATGAAAAAACACTCATCGGTCATTGGATTAGAAAATGTAAAACAATTGAAACAACTGAAAACAATTGTGAACCTTGTACATTAGGGAAAATAACATGAACATCTTATAAAAGTGTGAAATTTAAGCAATCTGAAGATATTTTAGAATTATGGCACATAGATTTAGTTGGACCAATTGAGAAATCAATAGATGGAAGCTGTTATTTTTTAACAGTGGTAGATGATTACAGTAATTTCATATTTGTGATAACAATTGAGAAGAAGAGTGAAACTTCAGAAGCTCTAATCAAACTTATCATTCAAGAAGAAAGACAAACAGGAAAGAAACTAAAAAGAATTCGTAGTGATAATGGTAGTGAGTTTTTAGCTAAAATATAAAGAGTTTTTTTTTTTTTTTTTTTTTTGAAAAAATGGGAATTAAACATGAACTTACAACCCCTTATACTCTGGAAAGTAACGAAAAAGCTGAAGGTTTTAATCGCACTATAATTGAATCTGCTAGAACTATGTTAATTGATGCAGAATTACCGATAAAATTTGGTCTGAAAGCGTTAAAGTAGCTGTACATGTGAATAACAGGAGTCACAAAAAATGATAAAAGGTTTACACCATATGAACTATATAAAGAACGCAAGCCTAACATTACTTATCTTACAAGATTTGGATGTGAAGCATATGTTCATATAAGACGAGAAAACATAGAAAGATGGATCTAAAAGCTAAAAAAGGAATTATGATAGGCTATAGCATGAAGAGAAAAGCATACAAAATTTATATCCCTGAACTAAATAAAATTCAAGAAGTGAGAGATGTAAAATTTGATGAACAGAAACTTGGATCACCTTTACTAAAGAAAATTATTTAAATTTCAATAAAAATCAAATATTAGAAGAACTTATTATTTTTTATAAGGAACAAACTAATGGAAATGTAAATAATTCAGAAATAACTAACAGATACTATAGAGAAGATAATACAACAGATGAAGAAGCTGAGAAAATTTTGCCATCCAATAGTGATGATGAACACGATGATAACAATTCATTGGAAAAGCCAACCGAGTATCCGCAAATAAATGAAGAACCTGGAAATGATAATCATGGAAATTCTGTACAGAAAAGACCAGCGCGAATTACGAAGCCCCCAGAAAAATTAAAAGATTATGTAGTATACAATACAAATGAAGGATTACCTAAGGCGTATGATGAAGCTATAGAATCTGCTGAAAGTGAATTCTGGCTCCAAGCAATGACAGAAGAATTGAGTTCAATGGAGGCTAATGAAGTCTGGGAATTAGTTGAAAGACCCATCGATAAGAAAGTTATTAAAAACTGCTGGATATTCTCAAAAAGGGATGAAAAGGGTAATTTAGAAACAATTTACAAAGCAAGACTAGTAGCGACCGGATTTAATCAAAGAAAAGGAATTGATTATGAAGATGGATTTAGCCCAGTAATGAGACTTGCAACCTTTAGAACATTACTATCGATTGCAGTTTACAAAAACTACAAAATAAGATTTTTCGATGTAAAAACTACATATTTAAATGGATACTTGGATAAACCAATTTACATGGAACAACCACCTGGCTTTATATCAGATCTGAACAAAGTATATCTTGTAAACAAAAGTATATATGGATTACCACAATCAGGAAAATGCTGGTATGATGAATTATGTAAAGTTCTTAAAGAAAAGAATTTAACTAGACTAAAGTCAGATCCGTGTGTTTATATTTATAAAGATAAGATCAAATATTTTATCACAGCATATGTGGATGACTTAATGGTGATTGGAAATTCAAATTCTGAGATAAATGACATCATCTCTCAACTATCTAAATCATTCACATTACGAGAAGTCGCTCAAACACAAAAATTTTTAGGAATAGACATCCGGCAAGAATCTGGAAAACTTATACTCAGTCAAGAAAACTATATAACTAAAATCTTAAAAATCTTTGAAATGGATGAATGTAAACCTATCAAGACTCCAGGAATATTGGGTGAAAATCTTGATGACATAGTATCTTCACCACCTGTGTCGAAGACAAAATATCAAGAAGCATTAGGTTCATTGGTGTACTTAGCAACAGGCACAAGACCAGACTTAGCTTTTGCAGTAAGTAATTTGGCAAGATATAATCAAGATCCCAGAGAGAAACACTGGAAAGCTGTAAAGAGGATATTTCGATATATTAAACGAACACAAAATACTTGCTTAGTGTATACTTCAGACAATGGGAAATTAAATGCTACATCAGATGCAAGTTGGTGTACCACTGAAGATGGAAAATCATTTGGAGGTTATTTCATTAAATTAGGCAAAAATTTCATAAATTGGAAGTGCAACAAACAAAGAATAGTTGCTCTGTCTACAATGGAAGCTGAACTTTTAGCATTCTGCGAATGTGCATGTGAAGTTAAATGGTACATCTTTTTACTTGAAGAATTGGGTCAAGTTGATCTAATTGACAAACCAATAGGAATTAAAACAGACTGTCAAGCATTAATAGATTGGATTAAAAAACCAAAACAAAGTAGCAGTTCAAGGCACATTAATAGAAAAATATTTCTTTGTTAAGGATGAATATGAAATGAATCAAATCATTCCTCAGTTTGTGTGTTCACAAAATCAAGAAGCAGATATTTTAACAAAGTATCTACCTAGGGTGAAATTAAAAGATGAACTATTAAAGTATGGACCATGACTGACTGATTAAAATTATATCTTTAAATACAAATAAGGGGGGAATTGATAGTAATTGTGTTTATAAAGCGTAATTTTAAGTTTTAATATTTTGGCAACATTGATATTAAATTGTAAAAAGAATGAGTTAAAAATGTATCTGGAAGAGAGAGTTTTTTTTTTTTTTTTCCATTATTATGGTTTGGTAGAATGTGGTAAGATTTCTTATGTCTGATTTTCTTTAATAAAGTTTTCTGTTAGTATATTGCCATAATGTATTTTTGTTAGAAGTGGATGATTCTTTTGAGAATGTTATATATATGCCAATCTTAAAAAAAAAAACCAACAGTTATTGCTCATATCAGTGGTAAAATTCAATTATTTTATGAGAAAATATATTTGCAAATTCTGATGTAAATCTTAGATTTTGTTGATTGTCATTTTACATGTTGAAATGACATGATTCTGTTTCTTACAGGCTGTGCTATATTATTGGTGTACAACTAATTTCTGCACACTGGCAATTGTATCTGTCTTAAAGCTGCAGCCTGTTCGTCAATATTTTAAGTTGCCTACACAGCAGCCAATTGATCCAAAATTCCAATTACCCAAAAAGAGTTTTGTTGGTGGAATAAAAGAAGGTTAGTTGCTAAAAAATTTTTTTAATATGTTGTTTGTGGATTAAGGTCTTGAATATTAGTATTTTACTCTATTTATTGGATATTTATATACAAAAATATTTATGTAGATACTTTAGTCAGATATGATTTAGGTTTGTAATGGCAAGAAGCAAAACTTTTTTCAACTGCAAAGGGGGAGAAGTATGGGCAAAAAACTTAAATCTATTGTACTTTCCATTAGGCTGCCCTATTTTTAAGCCCATGTATTCCTAATGAAATTTTTTTGTGATTTTTAAATATTATGTGAAGGCTCTTTTTAATGTCATCAGCACCAAAAGAGCTCTAATCTTATCCTCACTTTTGCAGTGTATCATTTTCAAGTCAAAAATTTATCGTATATTTATATATAAAAGTTGTCCACCTTCAAGTCAATATTGTTGTAAATTTCTGTATGCATTTAAATATATTAACGAGGTTAATAACTTATCTTTATAATGCTTATAATGCACAGATGGTTGTAACACTAAAAAATATTATGTTGCCAAATGTTTACTCTTTGAAAGATAATGTGTATTGTTTATGATGCATATCATGCTTATAACTTATCCACACCTTTGCAGTGTGTCACTTTTTAAATTATGCTTATAATGCACATAAGGCTCAAATAGAAGATTCAAATTTTAATGTTGCAAAACTGAGAAAAAAGAGAGATTTGGCAGGTGTTAAGAAGACCGAATAAAAGCAATACTAGAAAGGAAATCATCAAGTGCTGGAACTGCAGATTGGAAGGACATCTCCGCAGGAACTGTCACATGAATCAGGACTGGGAGAGAGCATCTGTGAAACAAAATCATGGAAACTAAAATGCAGCAATCTTATGGGGTGGAGGTTGCCAGGCAAAGATGCAGCCCCTCTGAAAGTTCTTCAAATCTCTTCATTGAGCGGCGGAAATAACGGACTGTTCTTTGAAGAATACATGAATAAGCATCCTTGTAAGATGATCATAGATACAGGAGCAAATGTAACTATCATGAGAACAGATGTAGTTTGGGAAAAGAGCAAAAGATTGTGCTGGACTCCACCCTGTGTGACTTTACAAGCAGTGACAGCTGATAAGATTCCCATTGAAGGTAAAATGAACTTCAGAAATGAGACCTACCAACACTTGGCTTCCGTCGTGGACGAATTAATACTTGGACTGGACATTTTGTGAAAGTACGACTTTACACTGGACTTTAAATGTGTAACGAAATGCACTCTGCAAAAGATACAAAAAAAAAAATTCTATAATAACTGTGTTTGAATAAAATATAAATATAATAAATAAAGATATAACTGTGTTTGAAATGAAGAGTATCATTCCCTCAGCTCATGAAGTATCAACAAAAACAGATGTCACCATCTTTCCGATGACAGAATTATTAACAGCCTGCTCCATAGAAAAGAGTAGCTTCAGATTCGGACTAATTGAATACCCTGAAAATAGCCCAAGAGAGATATTAGTGGTCTCCACATTAGTAGACCTTTCGAGAGGTTTCATTCCTGTGAGAGTGGTGAATGTTAAAACTCCAGGAATATGATTTTGAGATAAAACATAGTAAAAGCTCCTCCCACGGAAAAGTGGATGCTTTATCCAGGAAGCCTTGTCCTGTTCGAGAGCAGAGGCTAAGTGCAGATTGGCGAATCCGAGCATCCATCAAATAACATCTTCAGCATCAACTGATTCAGGTCTGTGGAGTGATGAAAAAGTTAAGACCAATTAGCGGATCCTGACATTAAGCCAATAATAGAACTGAAGGAATCATCCAGTACAAAACCCAAGTGGCAAGACATTTCCATTTTCAGTCCTACAACTAAAAGGTACTGGGTTCTCTGTGATTCATTCCACTTTTGAAATGGAGTCTTATATTGGCTATTGGGAAAGCAACGATAAAACTAATGGCAGCTGCTACTTCCTCAAGCCGAATACCTGATGTCCTGAAGGAAGTATGTAACAGCCCAACAGGAGACATTTCGGGTATAAGAAGTCACCAAAAAAAGATTCGAGATCGCTTCTTCTGGAGTTCAACGAGAATCGATGTTGAGAAGTGGTGCCAATCTTCTGACAAGAAAGGGACGTAGCCGAGGAAGGCTGTATATCGACTGTGGGAAAGTGATGATGGGGCTAATAAGAGATGGCAGCTGATGCTTCTTTGAAAACGAATGCTTGATATTCTAAAGGAAATACACAGCAGCTCAACAGGAGAGCGTTTCGACTATATGAAGACACTAAACAAGGTCCAAGAGTTCTTCTTCTGGAGTTTGGCGAGAGTTACTGATGTTGAGAAGTGTTGCCGATCTAGTGATGCTTGCACAGCCAAGAAAGGACCGAAGGGACGTAGCCGAGGAAGGTTCCAGCGATACAATGTAGGAGCACCTTTCGAGCAAATTGTCCTCGACATACTTCGACCTTTTCCACGGATGGCAGCAAATACAATCCTCGTTGCCATGGATTACTTTACAAAGTGGCTCGAAGCTTACCAGTTCCAGACCAAAAGGCTGTCACGACAACTAAAGTTCTGTTACAGAATTGGGCATCCAAATTTGGGATCCCCCTTCAGATTCATTCCGGCCATGGTAGGAACTTCACTCCGGCTGTGTTCAAGGGACTCTGTGACTTGCTGGAAATCACGAAAACGCAGACGACCTTGTTACATCCGCAGTCTGATGGCATGGTGGAGATGTTTAACCGTACAATCCTCAACCACCTCTCGCTCATGGTTTCCAAGAACCAAGAAGACTGTAATCGCAAGCTGCTCCTGTTCCTGCTTGCTTAGCGTAGTGCTGTCCACAAAAGCACCAGCTATTCTCCATCACAGATGCTCTTCGGTCGTGATCTCTGTCTACCAGGTGACTTGCTTTTCGGCCGCCCTCCGGACATACATTCCTCGCCTGAGGAGTATGTGCAAGAGCTCCAGGCCCGGTTGGGAACAGTGCACGGGTTTTTCCCGAGAGTGGATCAACATTACGACGGACAGGAAGAAGAAGAGATACGATGCAAGTGCCACCAAACATCACTTCCAGTAAAACGATAAGGGTGGCTGTGGAATCCGAGTCCTCGTAAAGGTGTTTCTTCCAAACTGCAGTCGTATTGAGAGGGTCTGTATACAGTCCTCAGCAGACTGAACGACGTCTTGATACGGATTTGTAAGTCCCCCTAATTCCAAACCTAAGGTCGTTCATCATGACAGATTAGCCCCATACTATAGCCATAGTACCTAGTGCTTCTCATTGTTAGGGGTACCCATAATTCTTAAGCATTAATTTTCTGACCTGATTTCTGTGTAAAGTTTGTACGTAGCAAGTTGTAAATAGTGTAAATATTTGTTTCTTTAGTTGTGTTATTTGTTTGTTTTATAACGTTTTGTTTGTATCGAATTTGGCTTCTGACAAAGGCTTGTACTGCCCGGGACATGCAGTCCTTAGGAGGGAGCAGTGTTACGAAATGTCCAAACGTGGTAAGCTAGTTTGTTGATAGACAGGGTTGCCATAAATAGGCAAGGGGAAGGCAGGGATGCCACATTTGGCAAGAAATTGTCCATTTGGTGACAAAATTGGCAATACACCATAGACAGATGGAGAACCTTCTGGAATGAATTCTTACTGGTTTAGCCCAGAATTTTCTCAAACACAATCCAAAAGCTAAGTAAACCCTGCTGGTACACAGAGAGTTAGTGCCTCGTCTAATGAGTTGATAGTCAGTCATTGAGTTAGTGTCTCAAAGTCAAGCACCAAGTTGGTTGTCGAGTGCATCAAGAGAGTCTTTTAGTTTATCATGAGTTAGTGTATCATCGAGTTTTGTCTTAAAGTGTGCTAAACTCTGGGAATGACTGAACCAATTCAAGAGCTGTACTGTTGTGTATCGTCGACTGCATCGCTAGTTGTAGTGTGGAGAATCTTAAGAGTATATAGAATTCCAAGAATGACCGAGCAGAGGCAGGAGCTGTACTCTGGTGCTTTGCTGTGAAGCTATCTTCAGCGTTATAGCCTGATTGCCTGAAGGATGTGTTGCTGATTGTTACAGCGTGTCTATAGTAGTTCTTCGACGACTGTAAAAGTGTGATTTTGGAGTGTTTGATACTTCATCAAGTACTGTTCTCGTTTTTCATTCCAAATCTATGAACTCTTAACATAATGTGAAGGGGGGAACGCAATAATAACTTGTTCGGTCAAATTATTTACAGCCTAAAACGAGGGCAGCTCAAAAATTAGCTTTTTGTGAATTTTAAATTATTGTCATAAGATACTCATAAAGATAAGCTGCTGGAGCAAGCTTGGTTAAATTGAAAAAGTTTTTTATTAAAAATGAAAACTAGAAAAATTATGAAACAAAAGACAAGCATACCTTTGTTTAGTCTTACATCTGAGACATGTTCTCCTTTCTCTTTGTATTCAGCTAGGATTTTTTTAAAGTACTATTAATTATGTACTTAATAGAATTACTGGCATTCTATCCTATTTTACTTGACAAAGGACCTATTTCAATTTCGTAAGACATATTTATAGCTTGATTACATGAAGAATGACTTTTTTAACACCTTGTTTCTTTTTCCTGAAACTTTCAGCCAGTTTTAAAACTAAAATAGTAAAGAAGCATCACCATCTTGGATCATTCTATTAAAAGCATATTAGTAAAAAATGGTGACATTGTTCATCCTCATTACCTTCTGCTTTGTTAACACCTCCCATTCCAGTTTCACCTCCAATTGAATCACTCCCAGAAAGCATGGGCTGTTTCATTGTTTTTAGTTGTTTGCTTTTCGTCCTTCACGGATTATCTTTCAGCCAGTTTTAAAACTAAAATAGTAAAGAAGCATCACCATCTTGGATCATTCTATTAAAAGTATATTAGTAAAAAATGGTGCCATTGTTCATCCTCATTACCTTCTGCTTTGTTAACACCTCCCATTCCAGTTTCACCTCCAATTGAATCACTCCCAGAAAGCATGGGCTGTTTCGTTGTTTTTAGTTGTTTGCTTTTCGTCCTTCACGGATTATCTTTCAGCCAGTTTTAAAACTAAAATAGTAAAGAAGCATCACCATCTTGGATCATTCTATTAAAAGTATATTAGTAAAAAATGGTGCCATTGTTCATCCTCATTACCTTCTGCTTTGTTAACACCCCCCATTCCAGTTTCACCTCCAATTGAATCACTCCCAGAAAGCATGGGCTGTTTCATTGTTTTTAGTTGTTTGCTTTTCATCCTTCACGGATTATTCTGTAAGCTTTTTTTCCCCCCGTTTTTCCTTTTTTGGTAAACCCCTTAGCAGGGGTCATCTAAATTCATGCAACCCTATCGGCATCCATTCTTTGGACTTTTCAAGCATTCTCTGAGATGTAAGATTAAAGAAAGATATGTTTGTCTTTTGTTTCGTAATTTTCCTAGTTTGCATTTTTAATTAAAAAAAAAAAAAAAAAAATTCAATGTAACTAAGCTCACTCCAGCAGTTTATCTTTGAGTATCTTATGAGAATAAGTGAAAATTCACAAAAAGTTAATTTTCAAGTAATTGAGCTGCCCTTGTTTTTGGCTTTAAATAATTTGACCAAACAAGTTATTTTTCCGTTTTGAAGAAATAATTGATTCTTTAATTCTTGATGTAGAATTTTCTTCTTAATTTAATTTTGTTTGTGTATCTAGTTAGTTTAGCCATTTTTAGGTTTTTTAAGTTTTTTGTAAAAATTTTTTTTTTTTTTTTTTAACTTTTGTATATAATTTTTAGTCTTAGTGGAGTACGAATACATGTAGGGAAAAGATCTGAACATTTGAAAACTACTACAATGTTGTTTTAAAGTTAAAGTTTGATACTAAAAAGCGGTGCGAGTCTCAAATGATTCAGAGGAACAAAACATGTAAACAGAACTCATCATTAACTTGGTTTAAGGCTTCAAAACACTTTTCCTTTGACAAGTTCTGTTTGAAGTATTAAACAGAGGAGATTAATAAATTGTTGTATTGTTTTGAGTAATGTTTTTAAAAAAATTATCTTTGCTGATGTTAATTTTCAGTTTAGATAACATATTTGAATGTTTCATTAAATGTACATGTACTCAAATTGGTAATTCTTTACTAGGCGAAGAAATGGTTAAACCTTCATATGATAAGAAAAAAGTTTTGAACGATTCCTTTTCAATTTTTATAATTTTCAATCTAGTAGCACAAGCATAGATTCGTCTCTTTGCTATTTTTAAGTTCACTTTTTAAAAATTCTTTAAGAGCTCTCTCTCTCTCTATATATATATATACACACACACGAGAGAGAGTCATACTAGAAGAAGGTTTGAAAACCATGTAGTGCAACTTTAAAATCTGAATCTTTTCTTTTTTTAGCATACGAAGATCAAAAAATATTAGCTGCTGTAGAAGACAGGAGAAGAATGGATGAAATTAGATTTCAGAAGTATGGTACAGGACCTATACCTAGGACTTATTCATATGATCCCACTAAACCCAGACCTGCAAATATTGCTGCAAAACAGAAAGCATTGTAAATTTCATGTAAATATAGTGTACATTAAAATCAGAGTTTGATATTAGAAAATTTTTGTGATTGTATTTTAGAGTGTCTTTTTACCTTGTAAAAAAATGCTTTTCCTTCCTTCAGTCCAACTTAAAAGTTGACAATAATAAAGAAAATTTGTGTGCTAAATATTGTTAAAATTGAATAACATAATTTTTTGAGTCTGTCTTTTGTGCATTCTTCAGGGGCCCCAGAAGCAGTTTTACAATACTTTCAAATACATTTCAATTATGTATTTGTTGTAACTACAGTTGAAGATTTTAAGATACAGATTTGATTAACATTTAAAATATGCTCAGTTATAAATTTTTGCAATAAGAATAATCTTTTTTTTTTTTGTGTGTGTGTGTGAGTATATTTATACCTGAACAATGTTTTTTGCAAATAAGAACGAATAAGCTTAGAGCCCGATTGACTGGTGACCACCTCAATCTGTGATAAAGATGATTTCTAGTAATTTTTTTTCCAAAGCTAAGAGCTTTATCAGCATTGGAATGTGATAAAGTTATAATAATTATATATATGCAGACAAGTATTTTTCTGCATGTGTTGAAGTAAAATTAATAAAGGAAAAGTAATTTAAAAGGGTTCAGATTTTAACAATCAATCCAAAAGGGCTTTTTCAAATTTTAATATGGTTTATCAAGAGAGATGGCTCAGGTGGAATAGCAAAACATTCTATGAAATATATGATGAATATGCATTTAGACTAACATGGAAGCATTATATATTGTCTGTGTATTTAAAAAGTGAAAAAATATAAATATAAAAATGTTGAATGTTTTTAATTAGATACATCATGAATTAAATGCATATTTATTTTAATCAGTTGGATTAAAAATTATTTTAAAAAATTATATTTTTAAAAACTGTGTATATTGTTTTTTAGTAGTATAGTTTGTTAATTAATAGCAGATAGACTAAACATGAAAGAATGATATTTAACACTTTGCTGAATAGGAATAGACTGGAATGAAAAGTTAAACAATGCTAAATCTGGTTTCTAGCCTAATAGCCTTTTAGGGCAAAAAGATAATGCATTGTCATTATTTATTCTCAAGTTTTGTCCCACTTATACAGTTCCCTTGTTTGTCCCTTTTCTTTATTATTAAGTAAGTTATTTAGTGGTTAATTCAACCTATTAGAATTTATTGATATGAATGTTAGACTTAAAATTTTATTAGTTTTTCTGCATCTTTGAATTGCAAAATATTTTTGCAAAAAGTAAGTTGGAGAAATTTCTTGCAGGTAGAGAGAGCACTTCAGATTTCAAATTAAAATTAAATATGAATTTAAATTCTTTCCTTTGAATTAGTATTATTTTTTTGTGTTTATATATGTTTTGATAAATATTTAGTAAGTGATTGGTTATCTAAAGAAAACTGGAAAATATAACTGAAACAAAGAGTATATTATGTTTAAACAGAGAGAAGAACAAAAATATAAGTTTGAGAAAAGGAAAGTAAGTAGAGATAATAGGGCTAAAATTCCATAAGTGGATTAAGTTGGCGCGAAACTATTTTGGCCTTCAAGATTTAGCGAATTTTTTTGGCGGCAATGAAAGTATAAGAATGTGATTTTTAAACATAAACAGAATAGCAACTTTTAAGTTTTGCAGTAGTGAAACGCCGTTATTTGATGTAAACAGAATAATAAAATGAGATGATAAAATACTAGATGTGTAAAGCAAAGTCCAACAGCTTTGCGAGTAAAAACATAGTCCTATCTATGTAATTCATCATAATAGTAGAATGAATAATTCTTGTAAATAATTGTTGAGTAAATAAATGTATACACTTATCAGATCAGAGCACTGCGAAGTGAGTTTTAAATGTAAACAGAATAAAAAATGCTTGTTTACAGTGGTGAACAGCGATTATTATGTGCAAACAGAATAGTAAATGCAATTGATTAAATGATAAAAAATGTGCATCAGCTTTCTAAGTAAAAACAAAGTCCTTTCTTTATTACAAAATCTGAATAAGTGACATCTGTGATGACTTCGTGGTTTAACAAGGCACCATTTAGCAAGACGAAACAAACATTTATTAAATATATAATTCCAATAATAATATAATAGTTACTCAGAGCAGTACGTCGCTCCTACCGCATAGTACAATCTACTACCTTCCTCTTCCGAGGCTAACATGCAACTCCTAATAAATACATTAACCCTTTTCGGAGAAGGGCTACCTGCGCCAAGCATGCTCTGTTGATCGCCAAACAGTCGCCAGATATCACACCCACACCCCCGTCGTAAGATTGTTGTTGATATTATTTACAAATCAATCAGCAATCTGGAAACTAAAATCTAGCAACTGTTTGCGATCAACGTGAAAAAGAAAAAAAACTACATATACTTTTATACATTCTCTCCTAATTTTCAAATCTCAATTACTATAGATACCTCAATTTACTACATAAACATAATAACATACATTTTTATATATAAACATAGATAAATCATTTTTAACACTTGTTCCGAACTTATTATTATTGTAACAATTTATCAATTCTTAATCAAAGAAACAAGTTGATACTTTTATAAACAGTTAAAATATACCCTAGTAATTCCAATGATGACAGTAAAATTATTAAGTTTTTACGAGGGCCATCCAGGAATAGATTACGTTTCCGTCTGTGTCCGCTAGGGGCGGGCTAGCGCGGCCATCTTGGGGTCAGAGCGTTGCGCAGCTCAGTCTGCATCTAGCCGTGCTAGTGAAGGTTCGTGCTGTGCTCCGTTCAGATACTGTGACGGTTTGAAATGTCTGCGTTAATTGAAAATCCCGCGAGGTGCGCTCATAATAAGGTTTCTGACTGCAAAAACTGTAAACCTTAGAAAGTGTTGGGGACAACATTATCACTGAAGGTGGAATGGGTCATAAGATTTCAAAATGGCCGAACCAATTTCACGACGAAGATCGAAGTGGGAGACCCAGCATTGACCGCCGAACTTTCGAAAACGTCGAGCTAAACCGTGAAAATCGAAATTTTAACGGACTTTCTTTAGTTTTCCACAATTTCGCGAAGTTTGTTGCACGAAATCATCAGCGAAAAGCTTGGTTACCACAGTTTTGTGCAAGATGAAGGCAAGAAATAACGAATGAAGGCGCACCCTAGTATTATTGCCCAATAGTATGACAGTATATATAATATTATTATTAAGTAATTATTAGCCCTCGTATATATATATAAAATTATATTCTTAACATTCCTTTTAATTAATGATGCTGCAGCATGATTTAAATCCTTGGGAGACAAATATCTAAATTTACCACTTACCTCGAATATTTGTTATCCAATAATTTCTCTATCTATTTCAAATTACATAAACATCTTATTTGCACAAAATTGTAAAATGATTATGAAAAGCAAAGAAAAACTATCTAATTATTAACTATACAAAATGTTCGTGAAGATGAACAGTAAATTAATGTTCAAAGTTCACAAGTGGGAAGTCTGGATAATGCATCCGCGTTTGACAGTTTTTTTCCAGGGCAATGTTCTATTTCGAGATTATATTTCTGCAAAGCTATGGCCCATCGTTGTAATTTGGACGATTGCGGAGCATTTCTCACTATAAAGGCTAGAGGATTATGATCAGTCACAATTTTCACCGATGAACCGAATATCCAAGGTTCAAACTTCTTCAATGCCCATACTATAGCATAAGCTTCACGCTCTATAGTCGGCCAGCTCTGTTGAGGTTTCGATAATTTCTTGCTCGCGTAGCAGATGGGAAATTGCTTCTCTCCCCTTTGCTGTGATAAACATGCACCTATTCCGATTTGGGATGCATCAGAATGAATGACAAACGGATCCTGCAGTGTTGGGGTGATCAGCTCCGTTGACATCGCTAATCGTTCCTTCAGTTGTTGAAATGTTGACTCATGAATTTCTTTCCATTCGAGTATTTCCGGTTGTTTATTTTTCGTGAGTTCTGTGAGTGGGTAGGCGATCTCTGCATACCCTGGGATATAATCGCGATAATAATTACATAGTCCTAACAGACTTTTAAGATCTCTTTTCGTTTTCGGCGTTTCCAGCTTCTTGATTGCCTCTATTTTCTCGGGATCTGGTTGATGTTTTCCTGATCCAATGATGTGTCCTAAATATTTAATTTGAGGTTTTGCAAACGAACATTTCTTCGAATTGATAGTAAATCCAAGTGACTCTAGTTTGGTAAAAACTTTATCCAGATGTCGGAGATGAGTGTCGAAATCCGTGGAAAATATAGCTATGTCATCAATATAGGCTCTTGAAAATTGTTGAAATTCTTTCAGCGCGTTATTCATTACTCTCTGAAAAGTTGCTGCTGCGTTCCTTAATCCAAAGGGTAGCACTTTAAACTGATATTGACCTCGATGAGTTTTGAACGATGTGTACTCTTTACTTTGTTCCTCCATGGGAATTGCCCAATATCCTTTCAGCAAATCTAAAGTTGTTATGACGTTGGCTCTTCCTATACTGTACATTAAATCAATGGCATTTTGCATAGGAAAGTCATCTGGCTTCGTCACTGCATTCAAAGCTCGATAATCTAAGCACAATCTGATATCTCCATTTTTTTTTTTTTTTTTTGCTTACACAAACTACTGGATGAGCTATTTCTGCATTACTTTCTTCTATTAGTCCCGATTTCAATAATTCTTCTACTTCTTCATCGACCTTGGGTTTCAATGCTTCAGGAATCCTATAAATGTAAGGTTTCTTCCTCTCCATATTGGGTATTAATCTAATTTTATGAGCTTCAACTTTAGCTATTTTCAGCTTTCCGGTGAATAGTGCTCGGTGTTTGTTGATAAGAGCTATCAATTTTCTTCTCTGCTGCGGATTCAAATTTTCTAAATTCAGATTTGCATCTATTTTAAAATCTTCCAGGGGGGTCGAGAGATCTTTTCCTGGTAAAGTTATAATTTTAATTTCTCCAAATTCTTCTTCATTTTCAAATATCACTCCAACTGCATTGACACTAGCTTGGAATTTTCTAATTTTATTTGCATGAACATGTTTGATCTTTCCATCAGGTAGTTTTACTTTATAGGAATGAGGTGGGCAATGATTCACGATTTCTCCTGGACCAGTCCATCGTGCATAGAGTTTGTTATTTGAATCTGGTATGAGTAAAT